TTGGATTCTCCCCCTTTGCATTTAATTTCTTGTCATGCCAGATGGGTTCATTCTGCTTTGCTTCCTGGGGTTGTGATCCTCAATGTCTTTTCCTAGGATATTGTCTAAAATTTTTGGAGTGCCGGTTTGGTATTCATGAAGTTCCTAAGGTGCTCTTTGTCATGAAAGTATCTTATTTCTTCATCAATTTTGAAAGATAGTTTTGCAGGGTACATCAATCTGGGTTGGAGGCTGTTTTCCTTTAGGGCTTGAAATATGTCACTCCAAGCTCTTCTTGCCTTAAGGGTTTGCATTGAGAAGTCTGCTGTGATTCTGATGGGCTTTTCTTTGTATGTGATTTGTTTCTTTTCTCTAACTGCTTGTTGAATTTTGTTCTTCTGTTGGGTTTCTGGAATCTTAACTATTATATACCTATGTGTAGATTTTTTTTTTTGATCAAGGCTAGTTGGAGTCCTATATGCCTCACTTATCTGTATGTCAAGTTCTTTTCCCCCGCTTGGGAAGTTCTCTGCCATCACTTCTTTGAACAGTTTTTTTATGTCATCTGCAACCTCTCCTGTTTCTTCATTGACTGATCAGTCTTATGTTATTCTTCTTTGCATCATCTAGGAGCTGCTGGATTGATTTCTCATGGTCCCTTAGTATTTTAAAGAAACGTTTCTTTTCCTGGTCACTAATCGCAATCTTATCCTCTGTATCTGAAATTCTGTCCTCACATTTGCTCGTTCAGCTGTGTAAACTTTCTATGGCGTTTTTAATCTCCTGGAAATCTGTTTGCATCTGTTTTATGGATTCCACTTGTTTCCTATGTTGGGATTTCATCATGTTCCTCAGTTCCTCTATTTTTTTAATCTGTGTCCTCTCTAGATTTATTAATCATGTCTTGCACTATGGGCACAATCTCTGCTATTATCTGAGAAATTACTTCTGATTTCATTTCTTCCAGATCCTCTTTTGTTGCCAGTCCAGACAGTCCAGGTGGTTGAGTATCAGAGTGTTCCATCTCATTTTCCTTTGGGGTTGCTTTAGGTGATCTGGGAGTCTGGTTTTGAGACTTAAATTAAGTGTCTTCTCATTTCAAGGGTGTGTGTGTGGGCGGGGGGTGCTACCAGCACCCATGCGGCTTACCTCCTCCATTCTGGGGCGGGGGGATAGTACGGTGGCCCAGGAGGTTCACCTCCTCTCCCAAGGTACTATTCTTATAGCAACCTTCCCATGACACGTACCACAGGTGCTGTTATGGATAGGAAATGTAAAGCTCCAGACTAGTAAGAATGACAGCCAGGATTCACATCTAAGGTTGATGCGACTCCTAAGGCCATGCTCCTTCCCAGAGCACTTAACAGAATGTGGCTGCAGAAAAGGCGGGGGGTACCTGCTCCCTGCTTCTCATTTTCTGCTTCCGCAATGCAGGCCCTCCAGACCTTGGTTTAACTGTATCATCTCTGATGTATGTGTTGCAACAACCTTTCAAATTATGTTACAGCTTCTGCACGTTATTGGAGAAACAACTTGCAATGAGGACTACTTCTTGCTATTTCCATTGTCAATTTTGACTCTAAAGAATTCCCTAGGTAAGCCCCACACCTTGATGGAAGGCAGGAGAAGGACCTAGAAGCCTCAGGTCAGCTCTGACATGCTCTTATCATGCAGATAATGGTGCACTGCTGTATTATTATAAAGAATAAGAAATCATATACAAATTATGTTATAATCAAGGAACACTAACCAAGGTAAACTGCAAGAAAGAAGCATCTTCACATTTGAGAATTACATTGCTATTTATATTTCTGTTACTGGGTTAATTATGCTCTAAGTACGTACTAGGCCCATGGCATCTTGCTTACTATGCAGCCATATGATTGCTATCTCAGATGAAAACAAAACACTAAGAGGCACCTCGGACTGGGCATACACAGGCACTCTGTGAGTAGGTTTGATACTTGGGATAATGTAAGCAAAGTGTCTAGGACCACACCTTTCAAAAAAACCTGTTTCTTCAACTCCTTCTACCTGTCAAAGATATCAGCCAGCCCTCAAGATGCTATTCAAGTTATACCTCACTCTCACCCAGCCTAACCCTTTACATCTGGGGTTAGGCGGTCTGGTTTAGCTAAAGCACACACTGGTCAAATCCCATTATGGTGAACTGCACAGGATATGCAAGCAGTGGAATTTTATTAGATGGTTAGAAATCACATTATACCCAGCTGCAGCGGATGTAGACACCCAGGCTTTCTAACAGCATGTTCGCAAAGGAATTCTTTGGCACATCCTAGAAGAAGGGGGTGTGTTCACACCATCCCACCCCCACACCTTTCTCTGAACTCTTTGGGATTTGCATGTGTTGTAAAGTTTGTGCCACTGCTATGAATATATTTTCTCCATTGATGGGGCTGGAGCATTGGAGACAGAGGCACCGCAGAGATGCCTGATGGCAAAATACAGAGTGGTGAAACCTCAGCTATGCCTCATTCCAACTCTCTTTTCAACCTTTCACCAAACAGTTGGGTGCCTGCACTCAAGAAAGGAACTTTGGCAAGGATCTGTGAGTGTCCAGTCTGTAGATATAATAGAGCAGCCCTGACAAGCACATTTTACCCCAGACTCTCCTCAGGCTGTCTAGGTAACCAAGGCGGTTTTTCATTTTCTAGGTCCTCTCCTCGTTCTTTCAGCTCCTCCCAAACCAATACCACCTCTGGGCCAGAAGCTCTCACAGTCCTGGCAAAGTAGTGGAGACAGATGGGTTCGACACAAGTGGAAAACAATGAGATCAGCTTTGAGGAAGGGACTACTGAAAGTCTAACCAACACCCACAGAAAAGATCTCAAGTCCAGGAACAGCAAAGGAAAAAGAATGGAAACATGTCTTCTTTTCTTCAGAGCAACACATGCTAGCACTTTACAGAATCTGGCATGTGTCAGCATTTCTAAAGTAAACTCTATTTCTTTAGATGAAAGAGATTTAAAAAAAAAGACTGAGAATTTAACCCAATGAAAATTGCCTTGGCTATTCACATGCAATAAACCAAAGAAGCAAGAAGAAAAAAATCAATTGCTTCTGATTTATTTATTCATTCATTGTCCATCTCCTTTCCCTCTAATGTAAAAAAAAAAATGTCTTCTATAGTTTTGCAAGTCGTTAATCTTTCTGAAGAAAAATAAAGTAACCCAAGCCTGCCATTGGTTGCCCAGCATCTTGGCACAGGAAGTGCATGCTTAGTTAAGATTATGGAAGAAAAAAAGAAACTGAGATTTGCCTATCAAATGTTTAACCAGTGTTTATAATCAAAGACCACTGTAAAACCTTAAGCCTGGTGAATCTCGAACACACACATATTAAAAATGTCAAAAGCAACTACAAGACTTTATATTACTGTTTTTGCGGGGGGGGGGCAGATTCTTGCTTTGTCACCCAATCTGGCCTCTAATTCCTGGACTCAAGGAATCATCCTGCCTCAGCCTCCTGAGTGAGGAGGTCCACTGCACCTGGCCAGGTTGCTTTATTTCTTAATCTGAGTAGTGGGTGCACTGGTGCTCATTTCACTTTTCTTTAGGCCCCTTTGTAGGTGTTAAATATTTCATACTAAATATTGCTAAATCCTCAGATCTATTCTGGGATGTTCTGCACTGAGAACAGAGAAAGGAAGTTGGAAATGCCAAAATGCAATTGCAATAAAGAGCAGAAAATGTAAGCAACCAATTTTGAAAGGATATTTAAAGCTTCAAACCTATCCTGAATCATTGAAATCTATTAAAAGAGGGCTAAATTCTAGTATGATCCCTATATGTGCACAATTATACCATTATTCTGAACACCTGTTGAGACTGGGCAACGACTTATCCAAACGAAAGTCATCAGGCACCACTATCAAGTACTGTACCATTCAACGAGCTCCTTTGATTTTGCTTTCAAACTCTTTCTTCCCATCACTGAACCTTCACCTAAACACCATATGTGGGCTTGGGGCTTTCTTCTTGTGATTCACAGTATTCTGGGGAGGTGTGAAAAAGGCCTAAGTTTTTCAGCCACAAGAGCTTAGGGAGCTAAGTGCCCATCTTTACCCCTTGAGACACCACCCCCAAACAGCATTTTGTCTCACTGCCAAGAACGAGCTATGATTTTTCAATCTTTGTGCCATCTCATTAAAACCAACATTATGTCCCCTGCCCACAGAGAGAGGAGGAGGAGAAAGTTCCCAACCTCCTCTGCCATGACATTCTTGCTCCTGTCTTGACAAGGTTTTATTTTCCAGCCTTGTCTTGTGCTCTGACTGCTCAGTCCTTACCACCCAACATAAACCCTGAAAGGTATTAAGTAAGCAAAGGAAAAAAAAAAAAATCAAAGGTGAAGGGTGTAAAAAAAGAAGAGAGAAGGAAAATCCAACTATCGTAGAAAATCCATGTGCTGTCAAATCAGCCAGTAGGGAGCAAAGGTTCCTTCACCCCATTATTTCTCTCTAAGAGCAGGGTGTTTGCTGTGTAAAGAACTGGTAAAACAGGGCTGGGATTTAGCTCAGTGGCACCGCACCTGCCTTGCAAGTACAAGGTCCTAAGTTCGATCCCCAGTACCAAAAAAAAAAAAAAGGACTGGTAAAACAATATATAAATGCTCTAAAGAAGTAAGATTCTGAAGTTTGACACTTTATTTTTTTTTCATTCCTGAATACTGTTGGACCAAATGGTTTTACTTCCTTCTCGTTGCATACACACGAGCCCCACACAGCCTCCTGGGAGAAGCTGCCACTCCACCAAAGCCTGCCCTGCACACAGTGTGCAGAAACACCTGCTTTACTGGCCTAGCTTGATAAGTCAAAAATCTTCCGTCTGTTCCACCAGTTAACAGATGGCTGATCCCTTTTGGTACACAGGCACAGCATCTTCAAAATAACCTTCTCCTTTAAAGTATGCCAATTAATTAAATGTCACTGTGATATGTTCCAGCCAAGAAGGGAAAGGAGAGACCCAGAAGACAAAGGATGAGAGGTCATGCTCTCCTACCTTCACCTGACGACCCTGAGAGATCGATGATCACATACACTCTTCCTTCTGGCTCCAGATCAATCTGAAATTAAGAAAATGACAAGGGATTCTGTTAGTGCATTGTGTGGGTAACCTGAGAGATCTACTCCAGACTGTTAAAACCCAGAGTCACAGCTCCATGCAGTGTCTCAGCCCACAATGTGTCAAGCTGCAGGTGAATTAGGACTGAAGAAAAATCAACACTGGCTGAACATCTACTGCATCCCAGATGCAGTACTAGAAGGTCTGATGCTTATGCAAAAGGTAGCACCATCCCAGTGGTTCTCAACTGGGAGTGGTTCTGTTCCTCAGGGGATTCTTGGCAATCATCTGAAGATGTTTTCGATTGTCACGACTGGCAGCACAGCCCCGTGAGTATCAGCTAAAGGGTAAAGGCCAGGAAAGTACAACACATCCTATAGTGTACAGGACATTCCCCCAACAAAGAATCATCCAGTCAAGCATTTCAGTAGTGTAAAGGTTAAAAAGTCCTGTGTTATCCCTTTTATAGGTAAGGAAACTGCTCTGAGTTCCAAGGTAGCTGGCAATGCTGAAATTCAATGCCAAGACTTGACAAACTCACATTCTTTATTCTAGACAACCTGCTCCCAGGGGAAATACAAGTACAAGCTACCATTCCTGCTCTCATGGCATTTGCAATCTCATCAGGGAGTTAAAAAGCAGAGAACAGTGCTGAACCCATCTTAATACAGATAGCAACTGGTAACATATCTCAAGAGCTTGAGGTATAGAAAAGCATTGTGGGAAGTCATCATGGGCAAGAAAGGGAAGCATTCCATGTGGAAGCAACATAAGTAAAGGGCCACAAAGTGCATGGCACTTGTGCAAGATTGGGGATACCCATGTTCCAGTTGTATGTTAGCTGCTCATGTTTGCAAATCCTAAATTCGACCAGGATTGTACAGAAAGAGTCAACAAAGTTAACTGGATACCACCAACCTTCTCCACCCAATCCAACCTGCTCCCAACCCAGCTAACCCTGGTGAAATCGCACTGTAGGAGAAAACACCAGAGGACTAAGCCTCTCAAAGTTAGGATGTCTTTGGAAGGTTTGAACTCTCCTTACAGAAACCGTGTTCTCCATAAGACAGAGTAGCAACTCTGGAAACCCCAGATCACCAAGTTTCCCTCTTAGTCTCTCCCACCTGCATAATCCATCTGTCCACACAGACCTTTAACTGGATCCTAAGCACCAGACTCTCTCCCCAGCAAGCTGTGCATTTCTTAATGGCAGGAACCACTACCCTCCTCCCTTGTTTTGCTCCGTCATCCCCAGTAAAGAGCAGGCAAACATTTAGCAAATAACACTTAGACAGAGAGGCAGTCTAATGGACACCTCCCCAGTCAAGGTCAAAGACAATTATCACCTCCTCTCTGAAGCCTTTGCAGATATGCCCAGTCAGATTCACTGTCCTCTCATCTGTGTTCTCACTGCACATTAAGGATGTCCTCACCATGGCTTGGACTGAACTGTAACATATTGTTTATCTTCCCTGCTCAACAGAAGGCATGATAACCATATTTGCAATCTTAGCTCACTGTCTTTGGGTTAGGAAATATCCAGGACACATTTGTGCAGATGGGAAAAGGCTCTAGGTTCAGGACCTCCAGTACCTATTGTGGGCCACACACCCCTCCAAGCCTGCATCTCCAGGGCACATACTCTATACTCAATGGCATTTGATGGAGGGCGAGGGGAGGTCAAGGTGGCTATACCATGAATGACACATATGAGTCCCCACAAGGCAAAGAAACTCAACTTGAAATGATGGTGTCCAGCACCCTCCCCAAAGCCACCTTGCCCCACACATAATCCACATGTCCAAAGCCATGGAATCCCACTGCACTGCCACACTTTGCCTTTAATGGTTAAGAGTGCTTATGGTTTTTCTCAAAATTTTGTTTTCATCTGAAGAGATCTCCCATGCTTCATGGATGAGACCACTGGTACAGGAAGCACAGGAGCCAGTGAGTACCTCAGCAGTGTCTCCTAGTCCCTCCACAGGAGCTGTCACCTGAGTCTGGGGTCCAGATGGTAACCAAATGACAAACTGGTGATTCCTCAGGATGACTTTTCTCACCCCTTCTGTCCTGAGAGGCCATGATTTTAAGTTTACGATGAAAGAAAATGTTCCCCAGAACTCTCACCACTAGTACTGACCCTGCCATAAGTAGAACCTAGCCCTTGCCCTGAATTACAAACAGGAAAACCAAACATCAGCCCTAATGAAGAGAGCCAAACCAGAATACTGTCCCTGCCAAAGCTCAAAAATATCAGGGGCAAGGCTGCTGCCTGCCCCAGAACACGGAATTTAAATAATGTGTGCCTTTCAGAGATTAGATCATCCCTCCTAGCCCCTCTGGCAAAACGAAACACTTTCTCATATCCTCCAAGTCAAAGATTTCCCACGACTGTGGGCTTTGTTGGCAAAGTACAATGCTATCTGCGAAAAGCAGGGAGGGAGGCAGCAAAGGAATGAGCTGGGAAGCGAGGCCTGTGGAAGGCAGGCAGCGAGCCTATCTTTGCAAAACAGAGAAGTAAGAAAGCTCATGGCAGGGAGGACAGGTCATTGACAATAAAATGTATTAGGATATTAACATTCAAGATAGCAATCAGAAACCATTTGAGCACCCACTGCTGTCTCAATCCCGGTGAACAGCATTTCCCAACAGAAAAAATAGAAATTAAGCTATTAAACATGCCAAAAGCAACAAAGAGCCTTGCAGCCTGAGCAGATGGCCACAGAGAGCTGGCCAAGCCCCAGCCAGCCAAGCAAGGAGGCTCTGAGAATCCATCCAGGGTGGTGGGGCTTCAATGTTGATGACTGGAGGGGTCATCAAGTATAAAAAGTGGTAAAGACTGGTGCAAGTTCACAGCCAGATCTGTTTTAGCACAAATTCTGATCATGATTACACAGCCCAGATAGTGAAGCAAGGTAGGAGCCTAGCCCTGCATAACCCTGCGAGTCATCCACGGACATCAGTACCAGGCAGCTGATGCTACCTAAAAGTCAACCCATCACTCCTCCTGGATATTGCCAAGGTTAGCTCTGAATGCACCCTGCATTCCAGGTTCCTCCCAGTTGTCCCCGATGGAGCTCTATTTATTAAATCTTTTCAGATTTCATACCTTTCCATGACAGTCTTCCCAGCAACCATCTCTGTTTTCTTGGACTATGATCCTTTTCAAGTTACTTGCCTCTGGCTACCCCTCCAGTTAGGGCCAGAAACCAGGCTGTCAAACAGTGGGGCAGATAAACACAGCCTCTTCAGTCAGATAAGGACTGAATCCCAATTTTATCCCTTACCCACTGACAATTACTGACTTCTTCGTTTCTAAAATGGGATGGCATGGAAATCCCATGAGATGTAATACACAGCACTTGCCACTCAGAGGTTCTTCAGCATGTCATGGTTAAGACATGCTGGCTAGGTGGGCTGAAGCTAGCAACTACCCTTTGTAAGCCTCGACTGCCTGTCAGTGACATGGAGTTAGTATCAAGTCCTGCGTCGTCTGGGCAGTTGCGGGGTTCTCTGACATCATCTACATAAAATACTTAGCACATGCTTGGCACAAATAGTCATTGCTGGTGCTGTTACCATCAAAAGGCCAAGTCTTCAAGCCTTTTGCTTTTTAATTCAGTGGTCTTTCTACTATAACAGGTTTCCCCTAACCAAAAAAAAAAAAAAAGGCATGTTCTTGTCCCAAGTTGATAATTATTATTACACGTTATTCTAAGATATCTGATGAATTTGCAGTGGTCTTGTGAAGATCAAATAAAGGACCGAGGTATAAGGTTTGTACCCAGCCTGGGAGAATACAGGGAAAAACAAGGCTTCACACCTAGGCACCAGGAGGTCCAAGGGTGCTCATGAGGAAGGAGGAAGGAGGGGTGGGCTCAGGTTTTCTGAGTACTTACTGTGACTCAGACAGTAGGTTGGGGGCTTTACTTGCCTTGGCTCACTTACCGTCCTATGAGGCTGGGAACAGTCTCTACTTTCCAGATGAGAAAACTGGGGTATAGAGAGCTATTCAGCTGGCACATCCCACCAGGTCTGCCTGGACGCACAGGACAGAGGGCTCTGCTAGAGGTCACTGTCAGACCCAGCCACCACCACACCCCGACACCACACCTGGCCCACTGAGACTTCTCTGGCAGCCTGTTCCAGGGAGGTAGGCTCTCCAGCCTCCGGGCCTTGGTTCTGGGGTAGGCTGGTCTTCGCTGCTTATGCCACTGGCTCCCCGGCCAGACCTTGCTAAAGCAGAGTAAGTGATGTGTGAAACAGCTTGGCTCCACAAGCATGAAAGGAGCTCCACGGATTAACTAGGATCCAAGCAATGGAGAAAGAGCCAAAAGCTTCCAGGGGACTTCTTTTGGGTGGTGCCTAACTATTTTCAAAGCCCTTCCTATGTGTTATCTCATTTATTCCTCAAAACAAACCTGCAAGAGCCGGGTGTCCAATTTTTTGACTTGCCTGGGCCACACTTAATGAATAGGAATTGTCTTGAGCCACATATACTGTAAAGCAAAGTGACAAAACTATTTTAAATTATTAAATTATTTTATGAAATAACACTGCAAGGGAGTGGTGGCACGCACTTGTAATCTCAGCACTTGGGAGGCTGGGGCAGGAGGACCTATGAGTTCAAAGCCAGCCTGGGCCACATAGTGAGTTCAAGGCCAGTCTAAACTACATAGTAAGACCCCTGCCTCAAAAAAACAAACAAAAAATAACACTACAAGGCCAAGTTTAATCCTTAAATAGGAAAACTTACATGTCTGCTTAATGACAATAAATGTCTGTCTTCACAGGTGCACACACACACAGACACACTCACGTGCATGCAGGTAGGTTGAAATATATCATTGATAATCATTGTATCTTATGTGCCAAATTGCACAAAGGTATGTGACATCTGATACATGCAAGTTTGGATTCAACTGGCTACATGTGTCAGGCATAGGAAGCAGGATTAGCAATGCCCTGCACCCTCTCCAACATAGTGTCCCATTGTCACCC